AAAAGCAATAGCAGAGAAATGGTGGCAGCGGAACCAGGAGACAGCATGATGGATTTCTGAGCACTGCTGAGAAGAGGCTGTCATGGAATACTGTAACCTGAGTCACTTCTGATCCTGAATTGAGACCTGTTACTTCCTTAATAAGAGTCCTGGTGTGGCGCTGTGGGTTAATCCACAAGGTCGGCAGTTCAAGCTCACCAGTCGTTCCTCAGAAACTCTATACAGGGTCGCTGTGGGTTGGAACTGACTCAACAGCAGTTAACAATAACAACAACTTCCTTAATAAATTCCATAAATATCAGTGCTGTCTGTGAGTTCTGTGCAGCATTGCAAAGAATTATCAAATCCAACAGAGAAGAGTGTCATGGGATGGATGGTTGATGTCAGAATTGACAAAAAGGTAGAAGGGTGAGGCATGTCTCACCTCCAAATCCTAAGATTCAGCCTTGGGTTGCTGATATTGATCCTCCTCCCTTCTTGAGAAGCTAGAGGTGGTGAGATACCCCCATGCCATTTTTACACATATTAATGAGGTGGAAAGATAGTCCCACTGATTATGAAATAAGGCATTAAAATATCACACACAAAAAAATTTAGTGTGTCATTTATAATTCATCAGGACATGTAGTTATTAATGTGTAGTAATTAATGTGGTGGTGGTGTCCTGGTGTGGCACTGTAGGATAAGAACTGGACTATTAACCACAAGGTCAGCGTTCAAACCCACCAGATGCTCCTTGGACTATATAGGGTCACTATGCATTGGAACCAACTCAATGACAAATAACCACCATCGAATGACATTGAGTCAGTCTGACTCAGAAACCCTGCATAGAGCTTCTGAGGAGCATTAGTATTAGTCTTAAATATATAAAACAAAACCATAAGTATAAAGTGAAAGATTCAAATATATTGTTGTTCTTAGGTGCCATTGAGTTGGTTCTAGCTCATAGCAACTATGCTATAGAGAATTATCTAATGTCTCTTCTAGCCATGGTCTTTAACTCCCACTAAACAATGTTTCTGCTCCACTGCTTCTGGGTAAGAGAAGGTGGGAGAAGGTACTAACAGTATGAAATGATTCAACTGTGAATGTTCACAGTTAATTGTAATTGTAAAACCTTGAACTGCTAAAATGGGTTTAAAATGAACCATCTCAGAAGCGGGGGGGGGGGGGGGGGGGGGGGGGGGCGATCTAACTACCATCAAAGAAGAAGAACCAGGAGGGAAGTACATCTTTGGATACTCAGGTCCCTGCACACTGAACCTCCTCAACGCAGGAACAGAAAGCAGGGACATCGGAGCCGTGGCAAGGGAGCAGCATCAGCAGCAGAACCAAGAATCAGAGCACAAGTCAGCAGCGTGCTTCCTAGCCCACAGAGCAAGTAAAACTGAGTGACTTTGGGCACTTAAGGCTTGCTTGTCGAGTGGGGTGAGTCCACACACTTAAGTGGAGGAGTAACTTTGCTGACCCGTGAAGCTAGAATCAGGTGCCTTCAGCTGAGACTTATGGTGTAGTGATGCGTCTTATTGGCATTTATCAGCAGTGGAATGGAACAACTATTCCCTGAGCATTTTCTGATCCTGTATTATAACTGTTAACTTCCCTAATAAACTCTGTAACTGTTAGTATGCTGTCTGAGTTCTGTGTGACCATGGTAATGGATTAAGTAATCCAACTGAGGAGTATAAAGGATTGTAAGAGGAATAGGT